GTACCTGGCAAGAGGTGGTTTTTGATTTTCTGCAGAAATGGGAGAGAGGAAAGATAGTTCATGAAAGTAAATGGATACAAAAGTACTAGAATATTTAGATGGACTTAAGTAGTAGATAAACACCTAGGGTGAAAGGAGGATATAAATTAAAAATTTTAAATCAAATATTAATTTACATATATTAGATGAATTATTTTTAAGGCAATCCTATTATGTGGTAGTCATCACCCTTTACTATATCTGTGTTGAAAACCTTCCTTATATTTGCTTTAGAGATCAGAAAGGCAAGTGCAGAGAGGGATACATATTTGAATTGCCTTCTTACCCCTCTTGTCAGTAACTTCTGGGACCTCAATGGGTATAAATTTTTGTTTAAAAAACACACCAAAAAAAACCTTGTTCTTGTCTGTAAGGAGCTTATAACCTAGTTAAGAAACCTGTCAATGCAATGGGGGAAGATCTAAAAGAAAAAAAAAAAAACCTGTGAAGTAAACCACGTATTAGAGAAAAAGAAGGTGTTGTGCTCTAATCTTCCTTTTCCCTGGATTCCTTCGGCTCAACTAAGTAGTCTACAGTACTTGTCTTCTCCCCCAGCTATGACACTTAATAGCTTTTTGAGGACTGGGGACCTGTTCTTTGTGACTCTAGCAAGACTGTCCACGTGCTTTTGTATGACTCTTGCCAAATTTTCACAGAGAATCTGGTGCAGCAATACCGCCAATGTTACCTGCTCCTTGGCAATGAGATTATGGCATCAGAGGATATACCTGGGGTTCCTTTATTCAGGATAGCTTTTACCAGCCAAACTTTTACCTTTTGTTTTAGGTGGAAACAAGAGAAGATGAAGAACAAAATGTCAAGTTGACTGAAATTCTGGAACTCTTGGTTGCAGCTGGGTATTTCAGGGCAAGAATTAAAGGCTTGTCACCTTTTGACAAGGTAAGAGGAAACCTTTCTAACCATAAGACTATTTTTATTTTCAGAATGACATGGCTAATCATGGCAAAGAAAGGAGGAAGAGATTACATGTTTATGTTTCCATTTCTTCCTAATTCAGATTCATTATGGAAGTGTTCAAATTTTCTTTTCAAAGAAAGTAATGATATATCAGTAAATATGTTTCGAATTTCTTATCTGTGCACAAAGCTTTAGGAAGTGGAAAGAAGCAAAAGAAACAGTTCCTCCCTTCAAGGAATTTACAGTTTAGATGGAGATTGTAGAGCTTATACCAGGTAAAATAATCTCAGTTAATAATGGGCTATCCCAAGTCACTGTGCTCCCAGACAGTTGCCAGATGTGGTACGTGCTCTGATTTAGGAAGAAGGAGAAATCACTATGGGATAAAGTCTTTTAATTCAGCAGAACTTTAAACAATTATTATGCCCAAGGCATGGTAATAGGTGTTGAGGGTACAGAGGTAAAACAAAGCACTGTGCTCAAAGAGCCCACCTTCTGCAGAGTAGGGACAACTGACAAGTAAACTAACATGCATAGAATAAATAGCCTGATGCAGCAAGTGCTACAGTGTACTGTGCATAGAAAGGAAGTGTCCAAATCAGACAGAGTGGGCCACAAAAGCTCTCTGGTGGAAGACAGTGCTAGTGCTGCAGGGGTCACAGTCCTGGCTGGGCATAACAGAATCACCCTGGGCTGTTTTTTAATACCGATGTCTTAGGCCTCACTCATTGAAATTCTGGTTAGTTAGATCTAGGCTGGGGCCCTGTAATCTGTACTGTGTTGGGCATCTCACAAGAAACTAAAACATAGCCAAGGATAAGATTCACTGTTGTTTTTTTCTAATATCAAGCTGTGTCTGAAAAGGATTTTATTTCAAAGCGGGTTTTTAGCTTTAGTCTCATTTGCATCTCAGATAAATCCTGTGGGAAAAGTAGAACAGGGATTCTCAATTAGATAGATGAGGAAAAATAAGATATATGGAAACAATGTCAGCCTTGCTGCCTACACTTCTGATCTATAAAACACATAATGTCTGTCTCCTTCACTGTAAAGAGGATCTATGTGTGATATGTTCATTTAATGATAAAAGTCGGCTTCTCAGTCATACTAGCCACGTTTCAAGTGCTCAGCATCCATGTGTGGCCAGTAGCTACCGTACTGGCCAGTACAGATGCAGAACGTTTCCTGCACTGTAGAAAGTTTTCAACAGTGCTGTTGTAGATGAGTCGTAGTTGATGGGGTAAGGAACACTCTCTGTCTCTCTCTCTCTCAAGATATATAATTTTGTTTGTTTACTGAGTCTGTAAGAGCTATTTATAATTTACCTACCTTCCACTTCTTCCCCTCTCTCCAAACTAGAAAGAGGAAACAATCATGTTTTTTGTGTCTTGCAGGTAGTGGGAGGAATGACTTGGTGCATCACCACTTGCAACTTTGACGTAGACGTTGATTTGCTTTTTCAGGAAAACTCTACAATAGGTCAAAAAATGTAAGTTACTAGGGTTTTCCATGGAAGAACCTAAAGGTGGGGAGAAGAGAACTAACTTTTTGAGTGTCTGCTATGTGCCAGAGTCTGTGCTGGATGCCTTACATATTTTAATTTTTATTACTACAGGTATTATCCCTGTTTTATAGATGAAACTGAGACTGGAAGAAGCCAAGGTCACACAGCTAGTATACGAGTCATTTAATGTTCGGGTTATTTCTAATGCTTTTTCTTGATCAAAGTTTTTGGTGTCTGCTTAGTTTATCTCTCTCCAAAGACAGCTAATTTAGGTGGAAATTGATACGGAGAAGGAAAGGAGAATCTTTCTTTGCCCTTTGCCTCTGTGTAAGGCACAGCCTCATTCTGCCATTGAGAGAGGGCAGTATGGGCTCCTTGCTAGAGATTTCACCTGAGGGTCCCCTGCCCAGTCGTTCATAGCTCACCAGGGACTGAGCCATTTCATTAGACCATTTGAGATACCTGGTTCTGCTCCCAGCCCTGCCAGTGGGCCACTGTGTGACCTTGGGCAAGCTACTCCTTTGGGCCTCAGTTCCCTTATCTGTATGAAGAGAGATTTCCTGAACTCAGATATGTGTGATTCTGTGACTTACTCTATTTATTCATTTTCCTGAAGTATTAAACTTCGCCAAGAAAAAACACTTCCAAAAGGATTAAAGATGGCTTATATATATGCATATGAAGCAGTAATGATAAAAAAGTGAAGCAAAGAAAAAAAAAGTGGGGACAGAAGGCAGAGTTGGGGATAAGGCTACCAAATGAGTGATGGGCCAGAGATGCTTTGTTTTCCTAGGGTAGGTCAAAGATTTGCCCCTAAGTTTGCTGGCAGCCAGGTGGAGGTGATGTCTATGAGTTACTGAGAATCAGGCACATTTTAATTTTTTTTATTTTTTTCTTTATTTCAGAATATTACCAGGGTATAAACGCTTTGGTTACATAAATTCAGGCACATTTTAATGTGCTTCGTATTTATATAGTTTTTTTCCCCTTGGAGTTTCTAATTGCCTTTTTTTGTTATTGTTGACAAAAGGAGCACATGCCTTTACCTGTAGCTCAGGTCAGCTAGA